TCTACTGACTGCATCATCCAAGGTTTGCGCCCTGCACTTCAGATCAAGTGAAATCAAGTACAGTAAAACCCGCTTAAGTTCCTCGCGAAAAATGTCAGCTTTTTGAGGTACTTATGCGGGTTGGGTGCTTAAAAGAATTTTTGTCCTTAAGCGGGTTTTACTGTATTCAAATTCCAAGGCAAGACGCCTCAATCCTAATGCTTGAAACAAAATACCCGGCGAACGAAGTTCGCCGAATTTGGCGATGCCGTCGTTCATCGTTCGCCCTGCTCTTTCGCCTACTTTAACAAGGGGGAATTTTTATAAATTATTTTATATTAAGTCAGATTTAACGAATCGATCTCTGTATTTTTCAACCAACAAAAATAATTCGTGTTATATGTTGTTTTCTTCTAAATCTTTGAAGGCAAAAAAACATACGGCCACCTTTGGCATGTACTGCCGCCATCGCCCAGCAGAGCGATAGAAATTAATCTATCGCCACGAAACGCCGCCGAGAAAACTTCGAATTTCGTTTTGGCTGTGTTCAATTTCATATGCCGGCGGGTGTTCTAAATTTGACAGCGGCAATTTCGCTGTGTATAGATTTTGTTACGGTATTTTTTATCGAATTTGTTACCGATATTTATCGATTTTGTTATCGACATTTATCGATTTTGTTATCGCTAGTTTTTATCGATATTGTTATCTATATTTTTATCGGTTTTGTTATCGATATTTTTTGTTTTTTTTGTTATCAATATTTTTATCGATTTTGTTGCCGATATTTTTATCGATTTTCTTTTCGACATTTTTATCGATTTTGTTATAGAATTTTGTATCGATTTTCTAGTTGACATTTTTATTCTATCGATATTTTGATGGATGTTACTATCGATTTTGTTATCGATAGAGTATAAAAATAAAAATAAAGATAACGGAAAACAGAATAACATAAATGTAATTAGAACGAACAGGGTAGAGGTAGAGATATAGATAGAAAAAAGACAAAAAATATAACCTCAAGCAAAAGCAGATGTACATATACATATATGTGTATTGGTTATGAGACAAACTAGGTATGTAACGTAAGTTTCACTTCTCCAGTGTGGCCCAGGAGCACTTACAATTTTTTGACTTGGATACGAGTAGCGATAAATAAGTTGGATTGTGTAAAGTTTTTAAAAAAAAGTTTATGACGGTGATTATTTGAATGAATAAAAATAGTTCTACGTACTATTCTTTATAGTTTGTTTTACTTCGTTGCAGTTTCATCATATATTTTCTCTGCACCATAATTAAATTTACTGACTCACCTTTTCAACAAAAAAAAAACTGAGGTTAGCCTTTATTTTCGTTAGCGATTCCATTTCTCACAGTCATTAACCGTAAGCACCCTCGCATAAAAATTATTAACGATAGGAAAAGTTACAATGTGTTAAATGTGGACCAGTTATTTTCGGTCTCTGGCATCGGCGTAGCCAGAATGAAATCGAATGATCGAGCACCCCCCCTGCCCCTACCTGGCTACGCCATGGTCTCTGGTAATAACTAAGCAATTGCTTTTACTTAAAATTTCATACCTTTCACTTAAATTCATTTTAGGTTATATTTAGGTTTTATGCATACGGCCCAATATTTTTATACCCGAGCGCACTTGTGCTTTGTTCACATAACGGTTGTTTGTAACAGCCAAAACAAATCGAGATACATATGGACAAATGTATACATAAATGTTCAGAATGAATAGAGAAATCGATTAAGCGGTGACTGTCTGTCCGTCCGTCTGTTCGTCCGTCCGTGTACACGATAACTCGAGCAAAAATTGAGATATCTCAACGAAATTTGGAAAGTAGGTTGCTGTTAATCCAAGGTAGGTTGGTATTGAAAATGGGCGAAATCGGACTGTAACCACGCCCACATCCCATATAACGGTAATTTCCAGAAATACGAGAACTGCGATATTTTATTAACTACTGAAGATTATTCACTCAAAATTGAAATTAACAACAATTTTTAGGCGAAAAATAAGNTTTTCGGAAATACGAAAACTGCGATATTTTAGTAACTACTGAAGATTATTCACTCAAAATTGATATTTACAACAATTTTTAGGCGAAAAATAAAATATTACAATATTTTGGAAAATGGGCGTAGCCACGCCCACTTATGGTTACATGTGTATATCTTAGCAACCGCTGCACTGATTTCATCCAAACTTGGCACAGTTGTTGGCCTTGGTACTCCATAACAAATGGCCGAAAATTTTTAAAATCGGGACACGCCCACAGTCCACAGGGTAATTTAGAGAAATACGAAATCCTCTATAAATCAGTAAATATTAAAGCTAATTTATTCAAAATTTACGTTTTCAACAATTCTTTGCCAAGAAATACGTTTATGGTAAAATTGGTATGGGCGTGGCACCGCCCACTTATGATCACGTATATGTATATCGTTAACCGTTCTACCAATTTGTACCAAACTCGGTATTTTTATTGTGCTTGCCACATATAAGCAAAATGTTGAAAATTATTGAAGTCGGACTAAAATAACGGCCGCTTGTCATATAACGGTAAATTTCAGAAATGCTTGAAACTTCAAAATTTCGAAATTGAAGGACGTTAATTTACTCAAACTTGATACACCCGTCTTACGTCTTACCATCTAGCGGTAGGTTTCGGAAAGGTGAAAAAACATGTATTTAATACTTGCGCCGAGTATTTAATGTCCGGCTCCACCCGAACTTAGACTTTCTTACTTGTTGAAATTAAAGTTGTTGTAAATATGAAAATATTTAAAATCTTATTATTATTATTATTGCACTTTCGTTTTAATGTAAACGTGGAAATGCATACTTACACAAAATTGCACACTAAATGATACACACTCATTTATAAAACCGTTTTGACAATTTTCTTGCTTTTACTATCCCAATGTTTTTGAGCATTTATTTTTTTATTTAAATAATAAAAATTTAAGTATGTTAGACATTAAAAAAAAGTTTGATTCTTCTAAATTTACAACAGAACTTAACTTCAATAATTTAGTCATTAAGTTTTTGAAATTCGAAATTTCCTTTCCATTAAATTTATTAAAAACTACTTTCAGTTTCTTTATGTCAACAATGAATTCTGGTTTAGGTTTTATCAGACCACCATTTGAAATTTGGACTATCCATGTATATGAGTTGGAGATTTTATTTTCATACTTGGTACATGATAAATCCTACACCTGGGAACAAACGCGTCCGCTTAGAAATACTGGGCTGCGATGGGCAACAAATAAAGTCAGGCGCACACGTGAAGAGTCTCCTAATGAAACAGCGCACCGCCCACCGTTGTCGCTTCATTTTACAATTCGGAGGTTTAAAATAACGCACACGTTTGTTGTCCTGGCTCTATGCAAACACAACGCCCCGCCTGTAATTGTTTTTCATTTTATTTGAGGGATTCACAGCGATGTCGTAAGTGTCGTATTGTTGTATGTCGTAAACTTTAAAAGCTTGAATAAATGTTTAGAGAACTGGAAACCACAACCAACTATTTTTTAACACTGCGAAATTACATAATATGACTTGGATGACACTTTGCAAACCCCTTTAACATGTTTTTTAGGCGTTTAAAGTTTACGACATACAACAATATGACACTTACGACACTGTTGTGAATACCCCAATTATGTATTTAAAATCAGTCGGACAGGTCACAATTGAAAATTTAAATAAAAATAAAAATTTTGAATAGTATAGGGTTAAGAGTTGACATTTCAGTCGCAATTCAAGAAAGAGAAAGTCGAAATCACTTCTACCTCGTTATGTCTTGATAAAAACATTACAAGGTAAATTCCAAGGCGAATACATATACATAAGGTGGCGTCGATTCAACAAATACAATAATTTCTTGTATTTTTTTTTTGCGTTTAGCGGGTCATTGTCAAATTTCAGCTATTCTTGCCCGAATGAAAAAGGGCGATAGAAAATACAAACACTCTCACGTTTTTACTCACTCACTAATGAAATACAAAATTTTGACAATCAAACGCTACTCACAGCTGACGAAACATCACCTTATATAAATTCGCCTTGGTAAATTCATTCTCTCAATTCGTCGGCCATGATTCTTTTTCTGGCGTTTGCAAGCATTTTAAAATCATATGAAATTGAAAATAAAAAATTAAAATGTTCACATTTGTTGTTGTTTGACATTGAAAATGAGAAAGTGCGTGTGGGTTTCAGGTTAGAATTTTTTAGTTATATTGCTGGCAAACGTCAGACTGCGTCTCAATGATTTTACCTTGTTATGTTTTAATCATGCCTCATACATTGCCTGCGTTTCTTTATACATTCCGGATAATCCCATTTCACAGCCGGAATAAACAGAATGCGTTTGAAATATACGTCAACATATCAACAGGAACGTTCTAAAGAATAAATAAACAAAAAAGCTTATTCCAAACGTTCAGAATGAATAAAGAAATGCAGCCATTGATTTCACTTCTTTTATTACATTATGTGTATTAGTAATTCGTTTTGAGAAAAAAGTTTACGAAAGCGGGTTTGTCAACTGAGCGTTTGTTTACATTACAAGCACCACTATTTAACTTAATAATACTTTTACTTAACTAGGCTTTGCGGGAAATACTATCTTGTATTCCCATACAAAGCCTTAATTAGCTCAAATGCCATTAAATTTTTTAACACTGTGATTCATTTAAATTTCTTTACAATGGTGTTTGTACCGCCCTAATATTGAAATAAAAATTTCCTATACCTGCGAACGCATTAAAAAACGCAGGGTTGATTTTTTGTGTACTTGCAGCCCATCAACTGCACTATTTTAAGGCTTATGTAACTCATTACTTATTAATATTACAAAATTTATGAATACACAGTCTTATTAAAAAATAAAGAAATACAATTTTTTGTTCGATAATTTGCCGTAATACAATCATTTGCAGAACAATAAGTAATCGTACTATGCACGCAACTCAGGCAACCCTTTGAGTTTCTGGAGCGTCCCTGCTTTGGTTTGACATTTAACTTGGGTTGACATTTCAACTTGGTATAGAAAAATTTCGCTCATCAATTAAATTAAATGGGAGTAAATAGACTATAAAAAGTGCTAAGTTTAAAGAGATGCAAAATTTATTACAAATTTTGAGCAGAATAGAATGGAAACAGATGATTTGTCGCATTTAACTGAAGACTATAGGTTGGAACACACAGATTTGGGTGAGTGCCACGGACGTGCAAGTGGACGTGGAGGTTTGCGAAACAATTAAAAATTTAACAAACGCAGATAACGAAATGTCGAATGAAATGTTTCAACATAACTTATATTTGGATGACCAGGAGGTGGATGAAAATGAGCCAGACGATGTTATCATTTTACATATGGACATACGTGAGCCGCTACGGGCTTTGCAGTAAGTAGGCGTCGGAAGGCACTTCCTATTCCTTAAAAAAAAAAATTAAAATGCAAATTAAATTTTATTTATTATCTTAATATTTACAGAAAACTGGCCGAAAAGAAAATTGGCATGAATCTAAAGGGTTACAAATTCTATTTGCAAGACACGCAGGAGGTTTGCATAGCCTACTTTGTTTTTGATGGTTTTTGAATTTCAAAATTTTCGATTTGTATTGCAGTTGGAACCGCATAAAAATCTTGTAGATCAGTGCGTAAAAGGCGAAGGACTTGTACAAATTAATGTACAGATACAAACGACAGAACAGCATATAAATATAGTGGATGTTTTGAAACCAACAGAGGCGGCGTTGGGTATGTCGTATTAATATAAGTACATGCATATAGTTACTCAAACCTAACATCATAACTTCACTTACCTTCACTTAAAATTAAAAATTAGCCGCTTTGGCTGCTGAAGAAACCAAAAATTCTGAGAAGAATGAAGATTCCGAGAAGAAGCCATGTCTCAACTGGGTTTTAGACAATAAATTCAAAAAAGAACAAACTCGGCTTAAGATACCAGAAGATCCTAACGAGTGGACAATCGCTCAAGTGAAGCATTGGTTTCAATGGGCTATACGACAGTTTGAGTTGGTGAGTTTTGAAGTACATTTACAGATTCTACTCGTCCGATTGATATTTTTGACAGTACACAGTGTTTCGACTATATGGAGGCAGGTGGAAATAGTAGTACGCCTGCATCGATAACACTGAAACTTAACATGTGCTCTAGTTTTACTTAGAAATAGAGAATTATGAAATTTTGTAAAGATGGAATAATTGCCACGCCCTCTACTCTTGTGGGCGGAAACATTAGATTTCATACGAATTCGATGAAATTTAGTTTGTAGTCTTTATTTTATAAAAAAAAAAAAAATATAAAATATGGGGAAGATTGGATCACTATAACGTCCAAAAAACAAAAAATGTGGGCCCAGTCATTAAATATGATGGAATTTTGGTTGATTTTTATTTCCTGTTTACCACTCTCAGAAAACAAAGGTTATGCTATAAAATGACTTAAGTGTAAATATTCGCTTTTTTACCATTGTTTGGTGAGATTTTTTCAATGTTCGAAAAATGCTTTTGGCGAAATTATTCAAAAAGAAGCTGAAAATCAAAAACTAAATATATTTGATAATTCGCGGGCAAATATCAAAAAATATATTCGAAAACTACATAAAATTCTCTAAAAAATTTGCGTAATTTCAAGACCTGAACGGTACTCCAACTTTTTTTTTACTAATATTCTTTTGCATCTAAATTTCAAAGTAAATTTTTTGATAAGAAAATAGGAAAGTAATGAGTAGCCGTTACAACAAAAACAATGTCTTTCCAGCAACTTGCAGTGCTCCCGACAGCGATATCACTTTCGTGTTGTTGTTATAGCGGGTACAACAACCCCACCCAGATCGGTTAATATCTCAGTGGTAGTCGTCAAGCTCCACTAACGGGAGCCCTAAGAAAAAGGCGTTAGCGTTGTCGGGTTTTCCGGGCATACGAAGAGATGTTTCGAGTCGTGGGGTGTCTCTCCGCATGCCGGACACTCAATTGGCACATCTGAACCTAATCTGCTCAGGTATGAGTTTAACCTGCTATAGTAGCCAGAGCAAAATTGGGCTATTGTGGTTCTAGTCTCCCGAGGCAGATGAAGCTCCGTCTCGTCGATGTCCGGCGGTTGCGCGCCTAGAACGGCATTCACAGGTCTGGAATCTACATAACTCGAAACTGACTCCCTGTGAATGCCGTCGGGGCCTGTCGAGAAGCTGACGGTTCTGCAAGCAATTGTCTATTTGGGTGACCACGTCTGCGGCTCTTAACTAGAAACTGCTTGCAGACCATTATGTTGTGCTCCTTTATGGGGAGCATTTTCGCCTCGTGCAGGTGGTGATCTGGCAACATCAGAAGGCATCCACTCGCCGTCCGAAGTGCAGTGTTTTAAGTAGTCTGCAGCTTCATTCACTGCGTCCTACTGGTCCCCCGGCGGCCAGTCTGGTGCTGCGTAATTTCCTGCCGAATCTCTCTTACAAAGGGTATGAGAGTAGGAATTTAGATAAACATTTGCTATCAGACATACTTCTGAGCCGTTTTGCCAAGTAAGGTACGTCGAATGATGTTGTCGTCGAATATGGAGCGGTCGTTATTTTACAACTTTCAATGTAAGGTGTCTTCGGAGGTGTTCATTATGTCCTTTATAGGGAATTTACAGGAGGCGATTTTTCAAGCAACTTTTAGATGAAAGCAACAATCGCGGCCTTTCAACTAATCGCTTTCAATGAAGTTGGTCAGCTGCCTACTTTAGTTCAACTTTTGGATCAACTAATCGCCTGTGAGAAAGTTGAATCATGTAAATTCCCTATTATTAACATTTGTCAATAAAAACTGAAAGAAAACATGGATTACCTCGTAAGGTGCTTACCTTTATACCCGGAGGGTATAATGTCTGCCGAAAAAAACTTTGTGTGTGTTACCTGGACCGGAACTGGGGCATCCTACAGTTCCAACTTCTCGGCAACGACGGTCTCCTGCTACCAATTCGAATCTACCCCTTTTCTAGTAAAGCATTATATTTTCATGCAAAAATAAATTCCATTTTCCGCAGTCTGACCTTCCCTCCTTATTTCTTAACTAAAATCTTTAAAAAATAGTTATTGGAATATACCATGTGCATTTATTTTTTTACCGACTTTTTCTTTCATTTTTGTCGGGAGTGTTTTTAGATTAGTCAATCAATCTCCTCATTTATTTGTATAAAAGTATGACTGAAAGAGTTAACCCCAACCGGGACATAGGTAATCTACTACGCTTGCACCTCATCTGGTTAGCAATCGCTTTGAGTACCTTTCCGCCTAACTCGAGTTGCTTCGTTTCCCGATCGACTGTTCTTCACGCTTGCGGGGCCTGCCGGAAATCCTGCCTCTGCCGATTAGAATGTTCCATTCCAAGGCCTTTGCAATACTGCCGTCTTCCTTGCGCCTATCTACTTAATTTACATTTGAGTCTTTCGGAGCAACGCTTTACTTGAAATTGTTTTAAGCTAAAAAATTCCGAATGGAATGAATACTGACGCTAAACCAAAAATGTATACCACATTCTCCCCACCACTCGGAAACATCTCTTCGTATGCCCGGGAAACCCGACACTGCTAACGCTTTTGTCCCTGTAGACCGACCCCATTGAGGCTGCACGCTTCTTAGGGCTTCCGTTATTTGAGCTTGACGACAACGACTGAGATATTAATCGATATGGGCGGGATTGTTGTAGCCGCAACAACAACAACAACAACATCGACCACATTCTTAGAGAAGAAACCTATTACAAATGTTGTCTTAAATTTTTAGTGTAAGCATTTTTTACTAAAGCTGGTCTTTATATTTTTAGAGCGGTGTCAGCATGAGTGATTGGCACATGACTGGAAAAGAACTTTGCTCCTTAACGCATGAAGAATTTCGCCAAAAGCTGCCACGAGACCCAGGGAATGTTTTCTGGACCCACTTACAGCTACTCAAGGAATGTAAATTCGTTTCAATTGTACATAAAATAGTTGAGGATCGTGGAAGTTCTGCCGGTGGCGCAAAGGTAACTTCCAATCCTGCTGGTTCGTTGCCGACGCCAATGAAAGAAATGAAAATAATGCGCAAAACTAGCGTAAGCGCAACAAAGAGCTACTGTAAGAAAAGCAAGTAAAACTAATTTTCATTAAATGTCCTTTTATCAAGCAAATTTCCTAACTTCTACAGCGCCTTTACCTTTGGACGGTTCATCTACATTCACTGTACTCAGCAACAGCAACAGCGGTGGCAGTGGCAGTGGCAGTTCTGGCGGTATCGGCAATAGTTATAGTGGCATAGGTTCAGGTAATAATGGCCAAGTACAACTGTGGCAATTTCTACTCGAAATTCTCACCGACCGTGAGCATAGGAACATCATACAATGGGTTGGCATCGAGGGTGAATTTAAACTTATCGACCCGGAGTGTGTGGCACGTCTATGGGGTATTAAAAAGAATAAGCCCGCAATGAATTATGAAAAGCTATCACGAGCATTGCGTTATTACTATGACGGCGATATGATATCAAAAGTATCGGGCAAGCGCTTTGCCTATAAGTTCGATTGTGATTTAAAGCTGTTGATTGGTTATGATGCAGCAGAGCTATCACAATTAGTAAATGAGAAAACTTTTCTGGATGAGTCGATGTATTTCAAACATGAAACATTGCAAGATGAATTTAAACAACTAACAGACGATGGGTGACATGATGGCGAATGCGCCGAATTCAGAGTGAAAACAGAACCAGTTTGCACGCTGGAAATAGAGCCTTACCTCGTGTGCGAAGAGGAAGATGAAGACGAAGAGGAAGAGAATAATTAATTTATGAATTGCGTTTTGATTTCTTATTTAGTTTTTTACTGTGACAAAATATTTTATTTACATTATTGGTATTCCATCTATGGCGTTCATAACATACGAAAAAATATAATTTCACCATTTTATTTAAATTATAAAAAAAAATTATTTGTTCTTGTTATTGCTATTATTTGTTGGCGGTTTTTATTTATTTATTTTTTTAATATTTTTGTTAAAATTGTATGCTTTATTCACATGCAACGCCAGCTTAATAAACCTTAGGTTTAAGTTCGTTATGTTTTTATTGACTAGTCCATTTTTTAAAGTTTCACATTTCTTTTAACTTGCTTGTGAAAATAAGGCATCTCATTTTTTACGAATTCTAAAACTAACACTACTTAGATTTACGAATTATGCTAGGAATGTTTTGCTAGGCTCTCTAGCTTGTCTAAGCAAATTTCTAGGCTACTTTGTTCGTTGCTTGGCGGCAACTGGGCGGCGTTTATAATAATTTATTTGTTCGTAGGTGCTTTTCTTATTTTCCTTTAAATATTTTACTACTTTATGACAAAATTTTAATGCAGTTTACGCATCCAAAAGCAATAGTTCCACTAGCATGGAACAGCTAGAAGCGTATATAGACATATGCAGGCATTTGTAAATGCATCTTTGTGACATAATATTGCACACCGTCTTCAAAATAGTCACAACTCAAAATAATACGTTTGCCAGAATATGCGAAAAGCTATTTCTTAGCACATGATAATCATATAAGCAAGGGCGACTTATTTTTTTTAGCACATTATAAAAAAAAAACAGTTACAGCTTTTGCTGAAAAGTAAATAAAAGTTCTGTGTACATTTTTAGCGCATAATCTCAAAAATGTCAAATTTTGAGTTGTGACTCTTTTGAAGACGGTGTGCGTTACGTGCTTTTTGTAACTTATAAAAATTCATTGTAAATATTTTTCATTCTTAATATCGCCGTCACATGATCAATTTTAATTTCGCCGAAGCACAGCAAACGCTTTTGGAGTTGGTCTAAATCTAGTATTTTTAAGATATGGCTTTGAATTAGCACATAAGTTGATAATTAAAAAAAAAGTTTCCAAGACTTATATTGTGTTGATAACGGCGACATTTGTATGTATGTATACATATAGATAGTACCTGTTTTGTGAGTTTTTTGCGGTTTAACGTTTCAACAAAACAAAAATAATACTTTTATTTAAAATTAAACACATAATATAAGTAACTAAGACAAAAGCTATTTCACATAAAATAATCCTACATTTAAGTTAAAACTAAAGCCTAAACCATTTCATGATTCACTTAAAAAAACATACACAACAACATTTTACATGGTAGACAGGATTAGTTAGTGCAACTAATTAACGCAAACTATACATTATAACTCAGTCGTTATTTCATCCTGCGGTCGAAAGCCCAATTTGTAGAATTCATCTTCAAGCCACAAAGAACTTGCATTGAGATCCGATATGAGATTACCGCTCTTTAGCGTATTGAAGCTGCTGCCGAATGGATCCGAAGGTCGGGGCTCTTCGAATTCGTGCAGACTAATGAGCGATCCGAACATATGCATCTTTTGCGGTCCCGATCCCGAAAGCATGCTTTGCCGGTAGACGTTGGTTTTCTGCGGGAAGAAAGTTGCATCAAAGTCATCATTTATGCCGGCACTACCGCTGCCGCGTCCTCCAATTCCCACCCCATTGACACCGGAGGGTTGAAAGAAGTCAATGAGATGACCTACTTGCGGTTTATAACGTTCGAGTGCCTGTTCAGCCCATGTATACAAGCGATTCCAGTCGTGCGGTGCAGCTGGTATCAACTCAATTGGTCTATTGAGCAATATTAATATTTTAGCCAGATCACGCACAATTGGGCGATAGGAATTGGCAGCACCTACTTCGCCCGACAAATACAGCTTGCGTATCTGGCGCCTCGTATCGTTGAGCATCGACAGAAAGTACTCTGCGTTGGGCCGCATTTCGTTGAGTTGACGTAGAAAATCTGAGCGATCCATTGTATTCTCGTTGATCAGTTTCTGTTTTATGGATTTTCGTCGTCGGCGTCGTCGTACTAACATCATGGCGACAGCAAGTAGTGTGAAACAGACCACAAAGCCGCCGATAAGACCAGCTATGGCGGCCATGAATGGGCCAGAGTAGCCGGTGGATACGCAAACACGTCCCATAAATTCGGTATGCGCCGACCATTGATCGATGTATCCGGAAGGGCATTGCTCGACACATTGCCGGGTATCGGTCATCAAATAAGCGGGACACTTGATACAGCCCTCGCTGTTGCAGCGCAAACAATGTGAACTTGTAGTTGGCGGACATCCTGAAATGAGAAGTGAACGAGGGAATATTATTTTACGTTGTAAGTGGTAAGGTAAATCTTAATAAAAACTGAAAGAAAAATTTTGTCATGTACATATGGATTTATAAAGAGTATTTTATCCATGCGAAAGGCGCTAACAAATTCGTCCCTCTCTCTAGCAGCTATAACCCTCCGCCTAAGACAGTAGGTTAAGTTAGGTGGCAAAGAAAAGATTCGACGCTTCCGATTTCTTCTTTGTCTCGGTAGCTTCGACATAAGTCATTTGTGTAAAGCGCCATTCGTCCTGCGTGAATTCCCATTAGGCATTATTTTGTCGAAGGCTCACAGGATAGAGATTAAGCAAAACACCTTTCCGGCTTTCCCTAATTGTAAATTTCTCTTCAGCATTTGAGTTTGCATGTATACTGTCCAAAATGGTACTTAGGTATCTAACGTCGTCCGCCAATGTGCCAGTTAAGTGAAGAAAGCAGAAGTCGGAGATTTTTTTTGTTCGTAAGGAGAACCATGACTGTCTTAGCAGGACTGGCGTTTAGTTCGCCCTCCTCCGTCCAGGGCTCAAAATAGAGCATTGTGTAGACATTTAAAACTTGAGGGTGAAAGGTCTGAGTTAAGTTTAACGGTGATATCCTTGCAGATACTCAAACCTTTTCTTCTTTCTGCGAGGTTGGTCTTCCTGCCAAAATTGGGCAAGCTTACCCAAAGGATTACAGGCCCATTAGCCCAACTTCTTTTTTTTTCAAAAAACGCTGGAGAGGTTAGTAGACGGATACATCAAACCAAACCGGGAGACATGCTCTCAAATGCACAAAACGCCTAAACGAAAGGGAGATCGGTATATACAACGCTACACGAACTTACCCGTAGCCGAAAGCTACATATGTTGTTAGGCGAATAGAAGCTGCTCTGGAGAACGGGGAATTCCTGTTGGGGGTGTTCCCCAAATGCAAGCCGTAATTTCGAACTGGATAAGCAGTACGTTGAGCTGCTGGATTTTTTCTTCGCAGTTGGGCAGGCAAGAGACCACCAAACCGGTTAACAGGGGTACGCCGCAATGGGGCGTATTATTACCGTTACTTTGGTAGCTGGTGGTCAACAGGATACTGAAAAAATGGAGCGAGGACCTGTCGAACTTACTGCATAAGCATGCGGCTTAAATTTCTGTCATAGTAAACGGAAAATGTCTATTCAAATACAGCTCACTTATCAACCAGGAAATTCAAGGTTCCGAACTGGTTTAAGCCTAAGCTGGATGGGATGACCCTCCAGGGGAAGAAAATTACCAATTACCTCAGAATTATACTCGATAGTAAGCTGTCGTGGCGCCTCAATGTGAAGGAGAAGGCGGAGAAGACCTCCGTGGCATGCTATGCATGGAAAAAGATGCTGAGCGGCACCTGGGGCTTATAGCCTTCTCTTTCTCACTTTTGTTTAGTGTACAGCAATGGAGAAGAAAACTTTCTTAAGAGAAGAGAAAGGGTATATAAGCTATCAATGATCGGCATGACAGGAGCCTTGGGTCTACACCAGCGGCAGCACTTCACACCTTCTTGAATCGCTTGCCGGCGCACCTATCGGCCAAGAATACAGCCGCCAGGCTTTATGCTAGGGGTCAGTTTTTGTGCAGGTCTTATGATCACAGTAATATAGCGTCAATTTTACTAGGACAGATTGACTACTTATGTGATCCCTTAAGCTGGCACAATTCTACTGCAGCAGGACGTCTGGAGCTACTGAACAGCAATCTAGCAAATAAGCAGGTGAATTTATATCGTTAGTCAGGCTGCGATAAAGTCGCTACGATCGCACAGCACTTCCTCTAGCAGTGCAGGGTATCTGGGGATTTCCTGCCAATAGTGACGTACAACTGTAATGGGTTACAAGGACATACCGGCGTCGCGGCCAACGCGGAGGCCGGCAGGCTTGCCAAATAGGGAGCTTTGTCGGAAACTATGCTGATGGTGTCGATTTCCCTCCAAGGGTTTGACGGTAACTCGACCGCTCTATGATCAGCAAGGCGTAGAAGGTGGGGAACGAAAGGTAAGACTGCAAGGTGCCCAGGATTATGAGCTGAGCGTATAATATGAAGCTCACGAAGTTTCTCCCTTCCCTCAAGAGGGAGGACGCTAGGCTACTCGTGGGTGTACTGACGAGCCATTGCCTGCTGGAATCACACGCTTTAAAACACGCTCTGACCAATGATAAAATGTGTAGGAGAGGCAGCACGAAAGAGAAGAGAGTGGAGCATATCCTCTGTAAGTGTCCTGCCCTTAACAGACTGTGGGTTAATCTGACTTTGGAGTTAGCTCACTTAAGAGTTCTTTGTGATATATTCACCAGCAACGAGCTCATTTTTAAAATTGTCTGAGCCATATGTTTCAGATTCATAAATAAGCCGCCAGCTATTCTTTAACATACATATGTATGTTGTCACAACGATATCTGTCAACTATTTACTAAGAAACTCTTTGGCCAAAGTAAGGAACCAAAGTAAGGTTTGATATAGTAATGCACAGAATCGAAGATCCGGAACCACCGAACCGAGTTCTTTAGAGAACGAACTAGCCCGGTTCTGACAAGAAACAAAAAACCGGTCTAACGGAACGGAAGCTCGATTCCAGAAGGTCCGAAAAACGGTTCCAGAAGAACCAAGACTCGATTATGAAAGACCCGTGGTAAAACGGTTCCGGAAGAACCCAAAAATGGTCTCTGAAAAACTTAAAAGATAAGTCCAAAGATCTGAAAAAAAAAA